CACACACACACTCTCTCACACTCACTCACACACACTCTCACACTCACTCACACTCTCACACTCACACTCACACTCTCACACTCTCTCACACAGAAGGCTTCTGCTGAAAACAATAAGCAACATTTTTTTTAATCAAGTGCAATTTGAATTGTATCCGTTGGCCTGTTCTGTACTTGCTATATTGCACTCATATTATTGGGAAATTACTTTATTTATACATTTTTTTATCCTGTTTCATTTTTAATTATGCCTTAAAGGCTTTTAATTGGCCTTAATGGTCATTATATAAAGTGGTTCAACATATTACAGCCTTGTTACTCTGCAATATATAGGAAAAAATATGAAAGATGTTGCACTATTTGCCAGCCAGATAATACTTGAATGCCAAGATGAATACAGTGGCTTAAAATAAAAGCTAATTTGACTAATTTCAGTGTTTTACAAATAACTGATACTTTTGCATATAGGCCCTGTCCCAAATCACACCCTAAACCCTCGCCGTCTTTTTCTGAGGCCACACTTTCGTGACGTAATGGCGCTTTGACTGTCGGGTAGAAGTCTGCTGTGGAGCTCGCCTCAGTGCAGGCTCGGCAGAAGTGCACATTGAGGGCGCATAGCGGCCACATAGGGGGCACTCGTGAGCACCCTTCTGATAGCTAAAATGACGAATGGGACACCCTACGGTCTTGTGGACTTAATGGACATGCGCACGCGGCAGCCATTGTAAGTCCGAAAGATCACAAGTGCACGTGAAGTGTGCCATTTGGGACAGGGCCAAAAATGTTTCTTTGGCCTTGTTCATTGGTGAGGCATTGGCCAATAAAATGGCTTCATTCGGACCCCAGCCCCACTCCCAGATCTGCTCTCTCACATCTGCATGTACAAGTGCACAAGCAAATTTTGCTACAGGAAAATCGTGAAAGGAGTGGCAAAAGTCAAAGCGCTGAGATTTGAAGTTGTACTGCAAGATCTGAGAGGTTGTACGTGCCGACTTGTGGTTGTACCTAATAACGCATTAAAATAATCTAACCTTGCGGTCATGAACGCATGAATTAACATTTCTGCATTTTACATTGAGAGCATAGATCATAATTTAGATATCGTTTTAAAATGGAAAAATGCGGTTTTACAAATGCTAGAAACATGGTTTTCAAAGGAAAGATTGCTATCGAATAGCACACCTAGGTTCCTAACTGATGGAGAGGAATTAACAGAGCAGCCATCAAGTGTTAGACAGTGTTCTAGGTTATTACATGCGGAGGTTTTTGGTCCGATAATTAACCTCTGTTTTGTCAGAATTTAGCAGTAGGAAATGACTACTCATCCAGTTTTTTATATCAACTATGCATTCCATTAGTTTTGCAAATTGGTATGTTTCACCGGGCCGCGAAGAAATATAGAGCTGAGTATCCTCAGCATAACAGTGAAAGCTAACACCATGTTTCTTGATGATATCTCCCAAGGGTAACATGTAAAGTGTGAAAAGTAACGGCCCTAGCACTGAGCCTTGTGTTACACCATACTGCACTTGTGATCAATATGATGCCTCACCATTCACTGCTATAAATTGATGACTGACAAATAAGTATGGTTTGAACCATGCCAATGCAATTCCACTAATGCCAACATAATTTTCTAGTCTATTCAAAAGAATGTTGTGGTCAATAGTGTTGAACGCAGCGCTAAGATCCAGTAGCACTAATAGATACAACCACAATCGGATGATAAGAGCAGGTCATTTGTAACTCTAATGAGAGCAGTCTCGGTACTATGATGTGGTCTAAATACGGTCTAAAAATCCTCATAGGTACAATTTTTCTCCAAGAAGGAACATAGTTATGAGGATACTTCCTTTTGTAATACTAATAAAATTAATGTACTTGCAGTCGGGTTCTTTTGCGAACGATATTCTACATCTGCTTTAGATGGTTGGAAGGCTAGCTTGCAGCAACTGTAGCAATGTTATAGACTTGCTTTCAGATTTGTATGATAACGATTACTTATCCACACAAAATATATACTTAAAACCATTTCACATGTTATTTTGGTTTATGTCATTCCCTGGATAATTTTAATATTTAAATTATTTCAGTTGTTGCTGTGATGATTGTAATAGTGAGTACATTGTGTATATTTACATGGAAGTATAGTTGTTCTGCAATAAAAAAGACAAACGTTGTGATTTTTTTTTACTATATGGGAAAAATTACATGGACACAAGTCATATCTTTATATTAAATATTCTCACATTAAGGCAAGTTTCACATCCATAAATGCTAGTGATCTGAAAAGAAACCCATTATTATCCAGTTTAAGAA